GGCGAGTCGGCCGCATCTGCTCTCCATTGCCGAGTGATGTGTTGGCTCTGATCTGAAGGTTCTCTCGTGCGTGCCAGTGCCAGTCACGCGTGCCTTTTTTCTCGCGCGCAGTTCGCCATGTCGTTTGGCGCGCAGAGCAAGGAGAGGCACACTTTTCCGGTGAGCGGCAGTTTGTTTGTGAAGCTCGCCATTCAGGGGCCAGATGGCGAAATCACGTTCGAGAGTAATCTCGACGTCAGCGGTTCATTGGCGGCGTCTACTTCTAAGGCGGGGCCATCTCATGTTTCGCAGAGGCCTTTGACTTTGACTGTGATGGATGTACACGGCAAACGTGCTGAGCCAATTCCTCTGCCCATGCAAGCTGCGTCGTCGTCGGAACAGGCCAAGTCGACGGGCTCTACGCCACTGCCAGGTGCTGATGCACCTCGAGCTTGCCATCGCGATGGCGACCGCGACGTCCAGGGAGCTCCTGCTGAGCGCCCAGACGCAGTGCCAGCGCGTGTTCCTGACGTTCACTGGCCTCGCGACGCAGCCCCGCGCAAGTATTCCGACTTCGAGTTCGATTCGGCCCGCGGCGTTGACATTCTCATGTCTGGAGGATCGCTGCCGCATGCGTCTGCCCTTGCCGTAGTGGATGACACCGGCCGTGACGTCGGCGGCGATGTCAGTTGCGCGCCGCCTGAGCCTTCATTTGGCAGGGCAATCGTGGTCAGCGATTCTCCCGAGCCCGTGTCTGCCGCCAGTGTCGCGGCTGAGAAGCATCTCGCTTCGCCGGGGGGCGAGGCGGCCGCGCGCGTGCTGAACCGGATGAATCTATGCCAGACCTTGCTGTTCCTTCAGGCAAGCGCCTGAGGCCCGGCGCCTGCGTCTCGCCTGATCTGGTGATTGACGAGTCGTTGTTGGCCCACTGGGACTAGCCAGACAACGGCATGTAGTTTGGAGATGTTGTCTGAATAGCTCATCGCACGGATGCCATATGCTCCTTGCAGTGTTTGCGTTCTCGCGGTTGGCAGGCGAACGCCGTCTGGTAGGCGGCCCGCGGCGCGCCCGAGCGGCGATCGCGTCTGCGGGGGTCTTGGGCCTTGGGCAGTCTTGGTGGTGATAATCATGAGGAGGAGGATGACGAGGGGGAGGAGGGGTGGGGGTGGGTGGATGGGTGGGTGGGGTGGTGGGTGGGGTGGGGTGGTGGTGGTGGTTGGGTGGGTGGTGTGGGTGGGAGGTGGTGGGTGGGTGGTTGGGTGTGTGTGGGGGGCGGGGGGGGGGGGGGGGGGTGCGAGATTGGGGGAGGAGGAGGAGGAGCGGGGGGGGGGGGGCGAGAAGAGCAGGGCTACTCCTGGAGCAAAACAGCTGTGCTCCAGGAATGGAACCAGAGGAGGGCGATGACGAGGATGCACTATGACAACGCAGCAACGACCTGGATGGCAACGGGGCCCACTGTTGCATTGAATGGGTCCTCGGTGGCTCTGCGCGGCCAGGCTAGAAAGGTGGCTCGCAATCTTTGGCAATCTGGGGGCCGTGTCAGGCCATCTTGTGCTCGGGCCGCAATTGAGCTATCTTGGGCGGAACCCGCCGCCCGGCAACCCGCCCGCCCGCCGCCCGTCCATTCCCTCCCGCCACCTGCCCGCCACCCGCCCGCCCGCGTCGTCGCGCTGAGAGGCGCCTTATGCAATTTTACTTCCGCGCGTGCAAGCGCTTCCCCCCCCCCCCCCTCCTCCTCCTCCTCCTCCTCCTCCTCCTCCTCCTCCTCCTCCTCCTCCTCCTCCTCCCCCTCCTCCTCCTCCTCCTCCTCCTCCTCCTCGCTCCATCCGCGCGCCGCCCGCCAAGTGCCCGCCGCCCGCTCCCGCTGCCCACGGCCCGCCCGGCGCCCGCCCGTGCAGAGCAATCTAACGAGTTGCGAGCTTAGCACGGCACGGCGCGGCGTAGCACAGCACAGCGCAGCGCGGCGTAGCACGACGCGCCAGGGCGCAACAAAAACACCGCGCAGTACAGTATCGCCGAAATTGCTGTTTCTGTGGCCTGGGCCAGGGGGCGTCAATGCCTCCAGAGCACGCAAAGGGTTGCTCACCCGTCGCCCCGGCCATTTTGGCGAGAACTAGGGTTATTCGTCATTGCGGGGGGAGTGGCTCCCCAGCTCCGTGCGCCGTAGCGCAGTGCGAACGCTCGCGCGTTCGGAGTCGGCGCGGGCTCGTCCATGCCCCGCTGACCTCTTCATTTGTTTTTCTCTGCAGAGGGCGCCGCGTGGGCCATGGCCGAGAAGGTTGCTGGAGGAAACGGCCAGGTGGTGATGGATCCAGTTGGCGACGCCTGCGAGGCGTGTTGCATCGTCGGCGTGCGCGTGCAGCGCTGCGACTCGTGGGGCCTCTTCGCGAAGAACTACCGCCAGAAACGCGAGGTGAAGGCGGGGGCCGAGCAGTCCCGCGAGACCCAGCGGAAGATAGAGGATGGTGAGTTCCAGGAGCAGACCTACCAGTTCGGCGAATATTTAGTGGACGAGGGGCGGGGGGGCTCTGTGGAGGTATTGCAAGTTCGGCGCGTGGCTGGAGACCGAGTTGCGGTCCTCGTGCGGCGTCGCTCGGTTGTCCAAGCCGCTCTTGAAGGCGCGGCTGAAGATCGCGCGCCCATGGATGAAGGGCGCTCGCGATGATCGCGTGCTGTGCCTCTTTCGCCCTGATCCAGAGTCTCGGCGCCATCGCGGGGTCAAGATCAGCCAGTCGATGGCGACTGGGGTCCGCGACGAAACCCTGAACCCAAGTGGCATGCTGTGCGAGGGCCACGCGTCGGAGGCATTCGCCCACGCGAGTGCGGCGTTCGCCCGCGCGAGTGCGGTGGCTGTGTCTGAGAGTGGCGCAGCCGCAGCGCTCGTCGAGGGCGTCTCGTCGTTTACGACGTTCACGGAGAGGGCCCTGTCGAGGGTGAAGGAGCTCAAATCGGGCGCCGAGGGTGCAGATGAAGATGATGGTCGCGACGATGTTGCTGAAGTCCAGGGTGTTGCAGCAGAGTTGCAGGGGCAGCTGCAGGCGCGTGTCTCGCCGCCGCCCAGCAAGAGGCCGAAGCTCCAGAGGATCGCGCCCGATGCGCGCAAGGACTCCAAGGACTTCGACGACGTGGCGTCCAAGGTCTCACTGGGGCCCCGCGGGCCATCGGGTTCCGCGGCTGGCGGTGCTCGCGATGGCCCACGTGGCAGCGCGGGCTCTGCGAGCGCCTTCGGCGACGACGAGGGCCATGCAGGGGCAAACCTTACCGCGGCGGCGATGGGCGTGATAGTGGGCGTGCTGCTGCTGCTGCTGGCGTTGGCGCTCATGCTGCGCATGGGCCCGCGTGCCGGCTGCAGCGGCGCATCCATTATAGTGCTCGTTTCTGCTGTGTCACAATGCGTGATGATGTTGATGCCCCTCAGCCTGCCGGGGCATCTCTCGTGGGCGCAGTGGGGCGCCGGCAGAACGTGGCATCTCGCAACGCAGCCTGTGTCGTGCTAGTGCAGTCGATGCGCGCCTACGGGTGCAACTCCCCCCGTTCGCAGTTGCGCCCTGGGCATTGTTGTGCGCCGACGCCGCGCTGCATAGCATGGCACAGCGCAGCACAGAGCCACATCGCAAATCACGACGTGACGTTGCGCAGCACAGCGCAGCATATCACAGCATAGCGCGTCCATCATCTTGGATAAACCGTTCAAGCGCAATCGAGGCGCGCCTACTGGGTGCAATTCCCCCCCGCCCCCTGTTCCAAGTGTGCGCTAGCCTTGCCGTGCATCGGCGCCGCGCGGCATGGCGTCGCGCAGTTCGGCGCCCGCGGCGCGCTCGCCGCGCTGGGGTGCCCCGCGAAGTAGGACCCAGCATCGGGGTCCCACAGATTGGAACGCCGATGCGAGTCAAGACGGAGCATTGCTAGTGCCCCATCGCTCCCCCCCACTCCCCATCGTGCCGCGCCCCGCTCCTGTGGGCGCTGCGCCGACAGTTGGCTTTCGTTTGTCGCATCGTTCGTGCCGCAAGGGGCATCGGCATCATCGCCAGTAGGGTGTCCGATGGCCTTGTCGTCTCCTGGAGGGGAGCTCGGGGGCATCAGATTGAAGTGCCCTGTCCAGCTCTTTCTCGACGGCTCCAAGGACGGTCGGAGCATGAGGCCCTTGCGGAGCAGGGCGCAGGAGCGCATGGCGAAGGAGCCCGCGAAGATCGATGGCAAGGTGCACTTCAAATTCCCATCGAAGCTCGAGTTGGCCGCCAACTTGCGCAACCCGACATGGGTAAAGGGACAGATGTGGAAGGATCTCGTCAAGGTCATCGAGATGTACACCGAGGGCGATGGAGTGACCTGGCCAGCCTCCATCATCTTCAGCGTTGCGGATCGCAGGCGAGCTGCACTTCCTGAGTTGGGCGATTGGGCTGGCCATTTCAAAATGCTTTCGGTGCTGGTCGAGTCCCGAGCATACTCCCTTGAACCTCATCGATCCGACCTTCGCCATGGCCGCCGTTAGCATTAGAAGCGGGAGCGAGAACGCAGACAATTTGAAGTCATTGTTGAGGCACTTCGTCAAGGTTGTTTTCTCAGAGCACGCGCTGCCATGGATATTCGACGGCCCTGCCAAGATCGCTGTCCGCAAGAACTACGCCACGGCCGCGCTGCGCGAGCACGAGAGCGAGGACGTGTGGGATTTGCCCAAGGAGGCTTCTTCCTTCATCCAGGATCTCCCCACGGGGCTCCAACTGCAATAGGAGGTGGATGAGGGTGGTGGTGGCGGAGCGGGAGTTGCGAGGAAAGGGCGCCCCTCTCTCGCGGCACTCGGGCCCGCCCCTCCTCTTTGAGGGTCCCGAAGATGTTTGATGAGCCAAGGGCGCGGCGGGGTTTTCGAGCTCCAGGGGCCAACCTTCACCGCCCCGCGCGCTGGGCACCTGCGACGCGCGCAGGGTGGAGGTTGGCTATCTGGGCAGGGGCTATCCGGCCGCCCCTTGGCTCATCGGGGGTTGTCGGTGCGCCCGGCGCGCGTCGGTTTGCGCGGCCGCCAGCGGCGCGTTCCCGCGACCATGAGGGCCATCATTGTCTTGATTGAGTTCCAGCCGACCGCGGATGGACACGAGGACGTCGTGGAGCTGCTCAGGTACTCTGCGAAGGGTGGGGGCTGTGTCCAGGTGCGGGTGCTGCGCGCCATAGACGCGAGTGGGTACTGGAAGGCCCGCGTGCAGACCTGCAAGAATGCGCTGCCCATGATGATCGAGACACGATTTGCTGGTGGAGATGGGGCGCCTTCTAGGTACCGACTCATTCCCAACATATTATTTGACGTTAGCGCTGAAGCTCCACAAATTCTGCGTGTGCGTGGCAGAAGTGCATGCGTGCCTGAACAAGATCTCCAGCAAGCTGTCAGACAAGGTATCCGCCTTCGTGAGGGATCTGCTGGAGCAGCCTGAGTTGTTGTTTGATACTGCGCTGTTGGACGCAGCGGAGAAGCTGCTCGCCGCGTCCTTGATCACATTCCCCATGTCCGCTGCCCTCGTCGACGCGCAGTCGCAGGTCGGGTCCCGAGTGGCAGAGATGAACGCCGCCGCCCGCGTCGACAACTTCAACAAGGCGGTGGATGGGGTTGACCGATGTGGCCGCCGTGGAGATCGAAGAGGAGCGGAGGACCGCCGCTAACAACGTCATAAAGTTTGCTTCGAGCGTCCAGCGCCACGAGCTGATCTGCAAGGCGCTCCTGGGCCGGATCTCCGCAGACTACACTGGCCAGATCGACTCGGTGCACGTAGATGCGGGGCTGAAGCTGAGCGACGCCGTCCCCGGGAAGGGCTCGACGCTCAAGAGTCTCTTCGAAGTCACGCAGACGTCGTTCACATGCCGCCTCAGCGTTCAGAAGATGAAGGCCATGGAGGACGGTGACGCTCCATCCACTACCGAGGAGCAGAAAGAGACGACGACAAAGATGCGCCGAGCCCCCTGCCGCGTGAAGGAACTCGAGCACGCCGTGACACAGGATATCAGCGACATCAAGGAGCGTGACCGATGTCACAGTCGACAGGGTGCTCGAGCTTGTCGGCGAGGTCATGGAGCTCACGCAGATAGCCGACAAGGAGATGCACGCCGCCGCCGTGGCCTCAGCCGAGCTTGCATAGCAAGACGCCATCGCGGCGGTGCGGTCGACCTTGAAAGACATATACGGCCCTCAGGCCGATGGTTCGGCGGTGGCGTGGAGGCCCGAGAACGGCTGCTCGTGGGCGGAGCTCGCGGCAGCCTGCGAAGTGAAGCTGAAGGGGGTGGACTTCGGCAAGGCGCGCGAGACGGCAGACGCTTGCAAGGCCAAGCGCGACGACTTGAAGACGGCCCTCCAGGACGCTGGCCACACGGGGCCCGAGACGGAGCGCACGAAGCAGGCCATCATCTTCCTCCAGGCGCTGGTGATCGCCAGGACGGAGCAGTTGATCTGCGCCGCGATCGCCAAAGATAGCATCGAGAAGACAGAGCAGCGCATGGATATCCAGACGGCCATCAGGAAGCTGCGCAGCTACGGCGTGCAGGAGAAGACGTCGCTGCACGCGTCGATGTTCCGGCGCGCCTTCCAGGTGATCGCGTGGAAGTGGTCGGGCCGCCCAGCCTCTCCGAGACGACGGCGGTCGAGGTCTCCGAGCTGCCCAGCCTCGCCGAGAGAATAACTACCTCCTGAGAGCCAGGAGGGGCGTATTGCACGATAGAGAAGATTCGACTCAGGCGGAACATGTGGGAAAGGATTGGAGACGCCAGAGCCCCCTTTGTGAAGACGCCTTCGGCGAATCACCGCAGCCCCCTGCCCTCCTGCAAATGCGTGCGCGGGTGGATGGGCCTACGTGGCCCCGCGCGGCTCTGCCCCGCTCGCTCTCCAAGGGGCCTGCGAAGGTGGCGACGGTTGTGCATTTTGGGGCGCGCAGCTCATGGAGTTGTCGTCGGGGCATGCTTCGCCCCGCGCCCGTTGGGGCGTGCTCTCAGAAGCCAACAAGTGGCGGCAGTCGCGAAGTTGGGCATCCTACTACTGTTATGTAGGCATCATCACCCAGCATGCGCATCATCATCCATCTTGTTCTTAGTCTTAGGTAAGCATCGCGCCCACTGCTGCAACAGAGGCCCAACGCGATGGGAGCCCCTGCGCGTGGCCGTGGCCAAAACCGCAATCTGTGGGCAGTGGGCGCCCAGAGGGGCCGTTTCCTGTTTGTTGTTCGGTGTCGAGGTGCCTGGGCCTGAACCTGGAATCGCCGCGTGGCGCCCCTGAACCTCCGATCGTGTTCTGGCTGGCAATGTGGGCCAGCAATCGAATGCCGTTGCGGCTTTGGCGTGGGAGCAGGCGCGACCCGCGTTTTTTTTTTTTTTTTTTTTTTTTTTTTTTTTTTTTTTTTTTTTTTTTTTTTTTTTTTTTTTTTTTTTTTTTTTTTTTTTTGCTCTCTCTCTCTATCTCTCTCTCTATATATATATATAAATATATAACATAAATAAATAGATGCTATTATTTTTTCTCTGTTGGTTATATATATATATATTCTTTTGGTTGTGTGTGTGTGTGTGTGTGTGTGTGTGTGTGTGTGTGTGTGTGTGCGGGGGGGGGGGGGGGGGCAGGCGTGTGTTTGGATTTGAAATTTGTTTTTTTGTTGCGTGGGTCGCTTAATTTTGGTGTAATTTTATAAGAATGCAGCGATCTATGTTTTCTATCATTTTGAGTTTGTTTTTGAAGATATCTGGGATCATGGTCTGTGGGAGATCTACGAAGACACAAGACAATGGGCAGGGCGCGCACGCGCCGCGTTGAAGCGTCCGGCTCAACGACGCGAGCCTCGACGGGGCCCTTTGGGTGCTCCTCGTGGGGTCCGCTCCCTCTCCTTCCGCGAGCCCCTCACTTCGGGCGTGCCAGACTATGGCTCTTGGCTCTGCGCAGCGTTTCGCTCGCCCCACCGCTTGGGCCGAAGAGCAGACGGCGCGAGCTGTGCTAAGGAGGTGATTGGTTCCATATGCTTAGGGTGTCCAGGTCTGCGCGCAAAACCCCAAAGTGCACGGCTTGGGTGGCTGTGCGCGCCCGCGAGGGGCGCCGTTCAGCTTCTTGTGTAAATAAGTTGCAGGTCTAGCCTCTGATAAATAATGCGGCCTGCGGCCAGAATGACCTTCGGGATCGGGTAGGGGCCTGCAAAGGTTGGCTCCTGCTGCCGCTGTCGCCTGCGTCTGACACCCACCGCCGCGCTGTTGCATCATGCCTGCTTCGCGGTGCCTGGCCATTTGTGTCCCGAAACAATGTGGCCCAGACGACGTCGCGAGCTGGGTGTTTCAACAATTTGATGTTTAGCAGAGTCGAGGGATCAGACGCAAGAGGGTGTCTGCGACTCCGTACCATTTGTGCCCAAAGTTTTCCTAGTGCCATCCCGTTGCGCCTAACACGCGAAATTGGGTAGGGGCCTGCAAAGGTTGGCTCCTGCTGCCGGTGTCGCCTGCGTCTGACACCCACCGCCGCGCTGTTGCATCATGCCTGCTTCGCGGTGCCTGGCCGCTCGTGTCCCGAAACAATGTGGCCCAGACGACGTCGCGAGGTGTGTGTGTGTGTGTGTGTGTGTGTGTGTGTTATATATATATATATATATATATATATATATATATAATATATATATATATATATATATATATATGTATGTATATATATATACATACATATGTATGTGTATACGTAGCACACCGCAAGTGCGGATAAGAGTGAGGGGGCGGGCGCGGGCGACGCGGGCGTCGAGCTGGCGGACCTCGTGGCCCTCACCTTCCCTGTCGATGGCGCCCTCCGCCTCCTTCTCCTCCTGCTCCTCCTCCTCCTCTTCCTCGTCCGCGTCCTCGTCCTCATCGTCGTCGTCGTCGTCGTCGTCCGCCTCCTCCTCCACCTCTTCTTTCTTTTTCCTCCTTTTCCTCCTCCTCCTCCTCCTCCTCTTCCACTTCCTCCTCCGATTGTCAATGAACGTCTTCAGACACAGCCCCGCCGCAGGCGCCGATGTGTTGTTGTAGAGTCAGCGTGGGCCAGATCGGGGGAATGGCACGGGGGCGCTTTCCCAATCCAATGCGAGCAAGCCCGCCGCAGGCGCCGATTTGCGTGCTCTGACAAGTTCAGCGCGGGGGGGATCGCTGGTGGGCCATCCGGAACGACTGCAAAACCAGCCCGCCGCAGGCTCCGAATTTTGGCTTGCTCAGTGAACGTAGTTTGGGTCGCGGGTGGGTGCGGGCTCTCCACCTCCACTTGGAAAAAATTCAAGAACAGCCCGCCGCAGGCGCCGAACATTTTGATTTGCACACTGAACGCGGTTTGGGTCGCGGGTGGGTCGCAGGTTCTCCATTTGGAACGAATGCAAAAGAAACCTGCCGCAGGCGCCGAAAATTTTGGGTGGGTCGCGGGGTGGGTCGCGGGTGGGTCGCCGGGAGGGTCTCGGGGTGGGTCCCGGGCGGGTCGCGAGGTGGGTCGCGGGTGGGTCGCGGGTGGGTCGCGGGTGGGTCGCGGGGGGGGTCGCGGGTGTGTCGCGGGTGTGTCGCGGGGTGGGTCGCGGGTGGGTCGCGGGGCGGGTCGCGGGTGGGACGACGACAACAACAAGCAGCAAACAACAAACAACAACAATAATAATAATCCGCATTGCGGAATTCCACTTCAGCCACGCAACCAAGGACAGTGAATGACCGTTCGGTTCAGCCCCCCTCACTCTGATCTACAATATATATATATATATATACACATATATACATACATGTTTATATGTGTGTGTGTGTGTGTGTGTGTGTGTGTGTTTGTGTGTGTATATAGGTGTGTATGTATTTATATATACATATATATATATGTTATCTGTATATTTGTTATATTTACAAATATGAGCTCCTGTGGAATATAACTGTTCATATACACATATACATACATACATGTATATATATATACATACATATATATACATATATATATATATGTTTGTACGTATGCACATGGAGAACATATATTTTGATTCATATATATATATATATATATATATATATATATATACACGATTTCCTTCCCAGTGTGACTTCTGTTGCCTTGCTTCTTCGGGGCCGCCTGTGGTGCCCAGCCTCGTGGGGAGCTTCGCGTGCCACCAGGGGCTTTGGGCCCTGCGCGCCTGGGCACTGACTTGGAGGCGGCTGGATTTGTTGTTTCCTCCCGAGACCCGGAGAACAAGGCAACGACATAATCGTGCATTTTCGGAGGTCCGCGAGGATTTCCTGAGCTGGCGCATACTGCGCCGCCCCTGGCGCGCTTCGCTCGTCAGGGAGGGGGTCCAGCGCCGACCCACGAAGTCCACGTGGACTTTGAAGATTCTTGTTTACGTTGTCAGGTGTTGTGAGAGAATGGGTGTTGCAGGATGGTGTGACAATATTGCTCAGAGGTGTGTAGCCACACTGCTCCGCACAGCTTGGCCTGGGGGCTTCCCCACGGCTGGAGTGCCCGCGCCCCGCCTTCCCGTCTTCTGGGAGGCCAGCAGCACGTGTGCACAGGGATCGGTCAGCTTCCGCCGGCTTACGTTTGAGCGCAGTCACTCGTGCACGCTGGACTGCGCAGGGCGCGTGTGCACACTTTTATTTCCTCGTTCATACTTCCTGCTGTCATCCCAAAGCTTGCGTCGATTGCGGGAGGAGGAATGGGGTCTGGGTGCGCGACGAGGTCTCGCCGCTCTCCGCCCTGTCGGCGGCGAGCCCAGGGGGGACGTGAGAGGGGGCAGGCCTTCTCAGAAGGCGGCGGGGATTCTCACAAGCCCTCGCGCCTTCTGAAGAGCCGTCTGCGTCTTCGGAGAAGGGGGGGTCAAGCTTCTCAGGAAGGCTTGGGTGGCTCTCCGAGCTTTTTGAGAATCGGTGCCCCTTTTGCCTCCTGTCTCTGGAAGAGGCCGTTGTCGGCTTTGGCCTGTTTCGGCTCCAGCCCGCTTCGGCTCCATCGGTCTGTTTCGGCTTCGGCCCGTTTCGGCTCCGGCCCGTTTCGTCCTGGCCCGCTTCGGCTCTGGCCCGAACTGTCGCGGGCCGAGCAGCAGCGCGCCGAAACCGAGACGGGCCCAGGCCGACACGGGCCGAAAGCCGATGCAGGCCGCAAGCCGAAATAGGCCCGAAGGCCGTGTCGGGCCCTTCAAGGGCCCGACCCGGCTTGTCTCGTTTCTTTATTTCGTATTTTTTCAGGGGCCCGACAAAAACAGTGAGCGCTGAGCGCGTTTCATTGTCACCGTCGAGAAAAAAGGACCCAAGAACGCCCCAAGGTGGCCCCAAGGACGGCTCCTGGACGGATCGAGGCCGCTCCAAGATGGCCCCAAGACCGCCCCAGGACGGCCCCAAGACGGCTCAAGGCCGCCCCAAGATGGCGCAGGACCGCCCCGAAATGGCTCTCAAGACCCCCCCCGACGGCCCCAGTAAACCAACCTTCTGACCGGCGATCCCAAGGGGGCAGAGCGACCCGAGCATGACAACCTGTGGCCATGTAAGCACACTGTGCGACGGGAGGAGGGGCTCATCCCCATCAGTGACCCCAGACATCACTGGCCTGAGACACTGTATCGCTTGAGCAACGCGCGAGAGGATCCAATGACATAGGCGTTGCCAGATCGGACACTGTCCCTGCGGGAGGAGGCCGCCAACCCTGGCGCTCAGTGCCCGAGGGGGGCAGCGCGGCCGGGCCTGCACGCCCTCGCTCGGCCCTGGGCGGAGCCGCCATGCAGTCCGCGCTGCGTGCGCTCGCCCGCGGGGCGGCGCCCCGCGCCGCGCCCGCCCGTCCCAGGCCCCGCTGAGGGCCAGAGTCGGCTACGCTCAAGTCGGGCGTGTCCCTCTACAGGAGGAATATTCAAAAATGACCAAACAGATAGCCAGGAGACGTTTTTTTTGTGCAGGCACACGAAGGGCCCCCAGGTGGCTGAAAGGGATGCATGCAATGGCAGCGGCTTGCGCGCCTGAGTATGGCCCCCCCCCCGCCCGCGCCCCCCCGAAAACCGCGCACCGAGGGTCAGTCTTGTTGAGGGTCACTCCTGCGTGCAGCCGACGGAGTGGCGGCACGGAGGCAACGAGAGCGCTCGACGCAGCGCTCTTGCGGTTGGCGTCGGGAAAGCAGCGTGCGATGGGGCGCCGCCGGCCCGCTCATTGCACGCCATCCCCCACCATGGGGACAGTGTGCACCCAAGAAGCCCAGGCAGGGGGATGGCGCGCACAGAAGGGGCCCTCGGAAAGAAATTGCCTCACAAGGATAACGTGCTTTTCGGAGATCGATGCTGCACGCCATCTTTCCAACGCCAACCTCAAGGCTTGCATGCAGAGTGGTTGTCCCGCGGAGAGGAGGAAGCAGCTCCCGCCTTGCCAGCAATTTAGTCGCCCCATGCTTGTCACGAACATAACATTGACTACTGCGCGTTTGGAGCGCCCTGGCGTGCCCCGGCCAAGCTAGCGCTCTTCAACTTCACGTGTGAAAGGTTGGAATCTGCGCATAGTGCGCGGGTCTTGTTTTTTTGTTTGTCCTTCTGGAAAGCGACATGATCGATCATGTGGGCGGATCGGTGGAAGAGGAGGTTAAAGAAGCAGGTGTGTCCCAACAAGGTGTACCTCGTAATATCCAGTGCTATCGCATGTGCAGGCTTTGTGCCCCGTCTTTTACCCGTTGCCAAGTAATGTGGAGTATTCGGTCCTCTGTTTTTCGCTATCTTCGAAGTCATTTGGTTTTCAAAGTTTCAGATTGCAGCGACAACGAGTTTCCCCATCCCAGCGCTGTGTGCGGGATGCTCTTTAAGGGCAGACTCGATTCAAGAGCTTCTCTCGTGGTCCGCAAGTACTGGTTTGGAAAAAGTGATGCGCAGGGGCATGTGTGCGGCCCGTGGCAATGGCCCGCGCGCTCGTCATCTGCCTTCCCCTCTGCAGCGCCTGTTGGGTTAACTCAGAATCTCATGACCACCAGAAAGCTGGGGCAGATTTGATTGTGGAGCTTCGCCCATGCTCCGCAAGCAGTGCTTTGGACAAGGGCATACGCGGGGTCATGATGATGATGGTGATGATGATGATGATGATGATGATGATGATGATGATGATGCTGATGCTGATGCTGATGCTGATGCTGATGCTGATGCTGCTGCTGCTGCTGATGATGATGATGATGATGATGATGATGATGATGATGATGATGATGATGATGATGATGATGATGATGATGCTGACGATGACGATGACGATGACGATGACGATGATGATGACGATGACGATGATGCTGCTGCTGCTGCTGCTGCTGATGATGATGATGATGATGATGATGATGATGATGATGATGAGGATGATGCTGCTGCTGATGATGATGATGATGAAGATTATGATCATTCTGATAATCATGATGGTGGTTGTGTTGGTGTTGGTCGTGGTGGAGAGGAGGGGGGGGAAAGATACGCTTGTGTTGCCTTAGGCAGAGGTGGCTTGTTTTTGTCTTTGTCGTGCAGGTGGTCGAGAGAGGTTGGCGAGGCATGGGGGCTGTTCTTCGCTGCTCAGCTACTGCCGTTGCCGCCGACGCCGATGGCAGCAGCCTGGACCGTACTGCGGTGCTGGCTCTTACCTAGCGAGGCCCGTCGAGCGGCGGACCCTTGGGCCCTACGTCGGATCGGGAGTGTGAGGCCGACCAGCACCGCCAGGCCTCCACAGGTCTAGATCCTGGTGCCTGTGTCCGCGTTTGAACCTCTTGGGCCTTCTGGCGCTGGCTTCCTGAGGCCCCCCGCCCTCCTCCTCCTCCGCCTCCTCTTCCTGCTTTTTGGCGCCGGCCTCCTGAGGCCTTCCGTCCTCCTCCTCCTCCTCCTCCTCTTCCTCCTCCTCCTCCTCCTCCTCCCTACCTTGTCTCGCAACAGGCGGGCCCACCCATTCACCCCCGTCGCCCCCTGCATCCGCCTCGGGGTGGCCATAAATGAGGACGAACTCCTCTCATGTGCTGGTCTCCTCCGCCGCTTTGGGAGCCGACTTCCCCTGACCCCAGGAGGCAGTGGATACGAACACATCCCGTGTCGGCGATGCCCATGGCGCCACTGCCTCGCAGGGTCCCCGAAGCTCGGCCCGCCACGTGCGCGTGCAGCTGCCGGCCTCGCACCGCCGCTCGCGCTGCGTGCCCTCTCGGCACCGTGCGGCCCGGGCAGGCTGCCTGCCGCGCCCCTGCGCCTGGGCACCCCCGCCCTGGCTGGCGCCTTCGAGCATCCACAGGCCAGAGGGGGTGGCAACGACGCCGCCGACGGCGACGGCGGCGGCGGCTGCGAGAAAAAGACCATGCGAGGGGAAGGGTGAAGATGATGGGGGTAATCAGGAGGAGGAGGAGGAGGAGGAGGAGGAGGAGGAGGAGGAGGAGGAGGAAGAGGAGGAGGAGGAGGAGGAGGAGGGGAGGCGGCGGCCTCCTTCTTCTCCCTTTTCCTGGAACAGAAACGACACCCCCGAAGGTCTGGAACCCCCCGCGCCTCCCTCCGCGACGCGCCGCGTGGACGCGAGCGGGGTGGCTCGCGTGTGGGAAAGCTGCGAAGCGATGCGAGAGAGAGGGAGAGAGAAGAAGAGAGAGAGAGAGAGAGAGAGAGAGAGAGAGAGAGAGAGAAAGAGAGAGAGAAACAGAGAAAGAGAGAGAGAGAGAGAGGAGGGATCGAATTATAGAGGGAGGGAGGGGAGGTATGGAGGGGAGCAGGCACGTTGATTTTCAGTGGCGCTGCTGGCCGCGCCTTGGGTGCAGCATCCTGGGGCCGATCTCGGACCCGCGAGAGGCTTCTTGGGAGGGGCCTCGGGGCGCCTTGCGCATTCTTGAGGATACCGGGCACGCGTCCTGGGGGGGGGCACGGCCAATGCGGGGAGCAGGGATCTGCTATCTCAGAAGGTGCCCTCTCTGAACATGTTTTCGCGCTGTCGATGCATGGGGCACCTCGAGACGTGCACGTTGGCAGGATGGCTTGCCCCCCCGGTGTTGTATTGCAAGTTCTCTTGTCCCTGGCACGGGCTGGCTGGAAGGGGCTCTCGACTCTTGCATCGGGCTGGATTCGCGTTTCGATGCGCCCCGCGAGACACATTCACCTGATGACAGGACATGCCTTGTTTTTCCTTCTTGATTACCTGGTGTACAGGGAATGTTGTGCACACAAGTTCGCTTCACATTCTCAGGTGTTCTTTGTTACTTTCAAAAGGCCTTGGGCCAGGCAGCCAGGACGCTGGAAGAGGGGAGCTAGAGATTCCAGAAAGGGTGTCTTCCGTAGCCTTTTTGGGTCAAGTGGAGTAGAAGCGGCACGCGCCCCCCGCCCGCCCCCCTAGCCTGCTACCTGCAGTGCCATGTCGGCGGCCATGAACGGTCTTCTGGAGTAGTGCGACGCGCCCCCAGAGAAGCGCCAGAAACTCTCGGATGGAGATTGGTGGAACATTCAATCCAGCAAGCAGTCGAAACATCTGACACGCGTTGTGAAGCCAGGTGCGAGGAGCTCATTAGTCGATTCATGGAGCAAGTGGACGCCAAGATTGCCGAGTCAGAGAAGCGCACGGAGGCCAAGTTTAAAGAGGTCCTGCGTCGCTTCACGCTGGTAGTCAAGTAGCATCATGAGCCAAAGGAGGCGGCATCTACGGCAGGGAGTGCGATGGGAGGAGGAGGAGGAGGAGGAGGAGGAGGAGGAGGAGGAGGAGGAGGAGGAGGAGGCGGGGCATCAGCAGGAGGCTCACGCACCGCAGCTGGCAGACGGGACTTCGTTCCTCGGAAGGTGGAGGTGAAGGGGTACATCGTCGATTCGAGCAAGCGCAATGAACAAGCGCTGACCCGGACGGAGGCGAAGACGTGGGTGGAATCTATGGTCGCCCAGGTCGGGAAGGAGGAAGGAGGTGAGGACGCTTATCGATGTCCAGGCCACGGTGAACACCGGCTCCTGGGTTCTCTTCAATATGGTCGACGTTTGTTTGGTGCAGGCTCCCGTGAGGGACGATGCTTGGAAGGTCCGACACGTTGATTTCCAGTGGGGCGTGCAAAATCCAGGACCTCGATCACTGCGTCATCGTGGAACCATCCTCCGAACGGCGTCCATGCCTTTACTAGGAAGGAGGCTGTTTCCTGGGCCACCTGTAGAGCCACGAGGCGTCCAGTGCCAGCGCGAGGGCAGAGTGGGGCCCACCGCTCCGCGTGTATGACATCCGCGGCGCACGCCCAACACAGCTGACGCAATTCGACGCGGCGACAGGGTGGTCCTTGCACCAAGCGGAGCTCGAGTCCCTCATTCCGAACGTGTAGATGGAGCAGGTCATGGCTGACTTGCGCAAGTGTGTGCGGAGGGAGGCGGACACGTTCACCAGGCCCGCTGTGGGGAGTACAGTTGGGATGCCAATCGAATCAACTTCGATGTTGCGAGCGCGGTGATAGAGCAGCTGTCGCCTGCTATCGGTGGTACTCGTATTTGCTTACTGCCGGAGGTCAGGGGATGGCCTCGTGATTTGCGTGTGGTTGGCTGGAGGCTCATTGACCACTTGTGCTGCCCAGCTGTCGTAGTGATTTTGCCATCCCTGTCGACCTCTTTGCGCTGGGCCGACTGTCGTTGAACACTGTGGCTGTCAACATGTATTTGCCGGACAGCCATCGCCCTCTGTCCGAAGACGTGGAATGCTCCAGGGAGGTGGAGGAGTTGATCAGCAAAACGATGCATATTGGATTTCAGCGGTTCCACTTGGGTGGCGATCTGAAAGTAACGCTTCCAGAAGTTCATCCTTGCACAGGGCCTCAATCACGTGGCGTTGCTTCTAATGTGAGCGCTGATGTGATGGAACAGGTTGGATTACGGACCAAATCATACTCAGAACATGGCTTGCGTGTGGAGCTCCAAGGGTGGTTGGCGAGGGCTCCCCTGGGCCAGGCCGGGGTCCGAGAGGCTCAAATGGACTGCGTGCTGGTCTCGGTGGAGGCGACGTGCACGAGCCGCACAGGCCAGCAGCGAGTACTTCGGAGTGACCATTACCAAATGCATGTCCAGACTAGCATCCAGGAATCGTTTTGGAACAGGACTGAGGAACACAGGCCTTCATGAAACAATGGTTCCCGAAGGATGGGGCAGCTTCAGTCGAAGGACGTGAACCATTGTTGGGGCGCGCCTAGTGATCTGCGTGGCGAACCGTCGTTGGGTGAGATGCGGGCGTCGCGCGAGGAATGGGCCAAAGAGGTCGACCACGCCGCAATGGGCAACAATAAGTAAATATCCAAACTGAGGCCAGATGGGCTGCACTATATTGTCAACGGGATGAAGTGAGCCAGGAACACCGACGAGAAACAAAACACTCGCGGAACGTCGAACGAGGCATCAAGCTCCAGCGGGCCATGGCTAAGGCCGACATGCACCTGGGGGCGAGCTGCGACGAGACAACCGAACACCCGACTACCGTGCTGCATTGCTGTGGGACTATGACAACATATCAGAAGAAGTGGCAAACCGAAGTCCTGAGGCACTGCAGTAGCAAACGCCATCATCCCAGGGAGGCTACGGCCCACCAGGTGCAGCGGATCCACAGATGCCGTTGTTCGCAGCAGGGTGCCCACTTGAGAGCGGAATCGCCTCCGAGTTGGAATTTCGGCACTACCATGCTCGGCTCGATCCTGGTTGAAACCAGGAAAGGCTCTGTGTCGGATGAGAAGGGCTCGTAGGCGAGATGTTGGAGGGCTTATCGGTGACTGCGGCGGTGCTGGTGCACTCGTGCATCGTGGATCGGTACCTCGGCCGATGGCGTGGAGGACATTCTTTCGTGGAGGACGCTGCTTTTGGTCATGACGCCGAAAGTTGCGAACGCGACAGAGCTTGCGCTGTTCAGGGACGTGTGCATGTTGAGCACATTCTCGAAGTGGTACATGAACGGGCTGCTGCGACTTCTTCGCCGAGACATTTTGAACGAAGGCGTTCTTATTTGCCGTGTTCAGTTGTGGCGGCCGCCTGTGGGAGGAGCGCAGAGTGGAACAGTTGCTGCTGCCTGCTCCAAATGGCGACTGTATGGGGCGGGGAGGTGGGGGTGCGCAGCTTTTACCGGTGATGTACGTTCTGCATCGATAACTTGACGATCCAGGCGGCGGGGGAGAGCTTCGAGTTTTGGAGTGTGCACCTGGCATTCGGCGCATGGTCACTCCAGGGGCATGCGGCGATGGAGGCTTGGCCCATCTTCGACGGACAGCTTTCTTGATCTTCCTCGTGTGTCAACCGTGTTTCTGTGGAGTGGTGTCGCGTGCAAAATATTGAGCCCATTGGAATCTCGGGAAATCAAAGGATTCGCGCTTGCTTAGAAAACGGCACTGACATCGCGCGCCCCACCTGGTCGGGCAGCTTGTGCATCTTCGGGGGCGACATTTCTGAAACGCACCTGATGTTTCAGGGGGGCGCGTGCGCGTTGAACGGGGGCGGCCTGCGCTGGGGACCGCGCGGGTTTGAGTGCGTGGCCAGCGACGGGCCCGTCGGTGCACTCGTCTTCCCCATCTTCCAGGACGCCGTCGAGATGGAGGTGCCCGCCGTCGACCATGTCGACGTGCCGGGGGGAACAGTGTGCAGGGATGGGGCGACAGACGTGATGGTCGAAAACCGGCTTCGCAATGCGACGGGGGCCTTCTGGAAGCGCCCGCGGGTCCTCCATCTTCCTCTCCGTTGCCGGATGAAGGCGTGCGCGCGCGAGATCAGGTCGGTTGCGTCGTGATTTACAGGCTGCTGGGCATGTGCCAAGAGCGCGTTCCTCTGGGCGAAGTCATGTGAGGACGCATGCTTCCGCAGGATATTGCGTTGGAAGCGGGGGCCGGGCGGGGCGTCTGCATCGCGCCAGCTGCGCCGCGCCCGCGTCGCCCAGCATGCCTCGCTGGGTGCTTCGCCGGGCGCGATTCCAAGGGCGGCGACGCGGAGCCAGTGGCGCGCGGCGGGAGAGGCGCAGCGTCGCCAGTCGTCCAAACCGACGCTTCGGCTATTGATTACTGTCCCGGATATTGCTATAGAGGGGCATGCTCTGGCAGGGGCGTTGGGTGGTGAATCCGCGAGGCCCGAAACGCGCGCGGCAGGCCGGGTCGCGTCGTGCCTGGCCAGGGCGCCCATCGGTTCGATGGGGCGACGCGTTCTCGCAGAATGCGGGCGTGGACTGGTGGGTGGGGGCCGCCGAGCCGACGCGGCCAGGCGCGCGCGACGCGCGCAGGAGATCCACGTGCCAGGACTACAGCGTGAACGTTCCAGAGAGTAGGCGCCCTTCGCTGGGGGCCGCCCTGCCGCCTAGGCGCGCGAGAGTCGCCCCCCTGCCGGATTCGCCGACCGAGATGGTGACTTTTCTGCGGGGACATGCAGGAGGCCCCGGGGGCTTTGTCATAGGCGATTCCATGCTTGTCTGCAAGTGGTCCAATGGCTTATGTAATACAGAGTGCGCGCATAATCTGATGCAGATGAATGTAGGTGGCACTTGCCGCGCGTGGATTTCTTTGGGTCTGTGCCTTCCGCCATCCCTGGGTCGCGATCAATGTCCGCGCGCGCGTCTGCCGCGAGCGTAGATCGGCGGCGGACAGAGCAGCGAGTCGCCATGGGTACTTCGTCTGGCAGCCTGGGGTTATCCGGGGCCGGTCCGAGCTGAAACTCCATGTCGATGGGGGCCGTTGGGGCGATGGGCGCGCGCGCGCAGGAGTGGTCCTGTGCGGCGCGCGCGGGGGTGGGGATGGCCTGCGATCTCACGTGCGAGGCGACGGCGTTCTTGTCGGTGACGAGTGCTCGACAGACAGAGTTGGCAGCGCCGGTGGTCGGCGTCGTCTTGGTCGAGCAGCTGCTGAACCTGGACATCCGCGTCCAGCGCGATGTCATCTGCCATGCAGTCCGGTCTTTCGCGGGGGCCGATCTCCGCGAATTGCGGGGGGGTGCCGGGGACCTGTTGCCGGGCGGGCGCGCTCGCGGCGGCGTCGAAACACGGCGCCCAAACAGCTCGCTTAGCGAGGGTTCGAAAAGGAGGGGGGTCGCCGAGGGCCCGGAAGGCGGTGGCTGTTTAATCCGGGTGCTTCCCAAGAAGTGCTTTCGTGTCGCCGCATGCAGTGTCCTGGGTGGGCCTGGGTTCCGTTGAGGGGCAGCGTCGGGGCCCATGGTGAGCTCTCCTTTGCAGCGTTTTGCTGGCGTTTTTGCGAGGGGGGCGAGGGGGGGGGGGCGGGCGTTGCGTGGCCGGGCGTAGGATTGGACTGCCCAGGCGCGGCTTCCCTTTCTCCTGTTCAAGACGCCCTCTTGAACCGCTTCGCTCGCGCGCGCCGCGACTGCGCCTGGAGGGGCGACTGCGACTTCTGCTCGGGGAGGGAAATGGAGGAGGGGCACAATTTGAGGAGGCGTGGGGATGCGTTTGCCTCGTCGATGATTCATGTTGCAAGGGTAGTGCACGGGCCGCGAGTTGGGCGTGGCCGATGGCTGGCAGTGGCGAGCTACATGGTGATGCTTGGCGTCGCTTCCTTCCCCCTCATGCTCTTGCAGTGCAGCTGAGCTCGCCCGCTGGGGCGTGCGTGAGTTTCTCTTCGTGTTCAGGGGTCGATGTGTGACGGCGCGCCCGTGGCCGATCTGGCCGTGGCGCCCCGAGGTGATGGGGCGACCTTGGTTTTATCGAGGCCCTGGGCCGTGGGGGGCCCAGATGTTGCCCCGGCTCCGCGGATGGGTGGCGGAGCGCGGTCGAGCGGGCGTGGTCGCCCTTGCGCTGGCCACCCTCGGCTGCGCAATCGCGGCCGTGGAGGCGCTCGCTGAGCGAGCGCGGCTCGCGGGTGGCGGGGTGGCCAGGCCGGGCAGGTGCTGGCGGAGAACGATTCGCTCTAGAGGCGGCTGACCCGGGCAGAGGAGCAGCTCGCGGC